AAGTAACCTGAACAATTTTGTACTTCGTCTGAATCATGTGGATGTTTGAGCAGGACTGAATTGTTGTTGTGCAGAGAAATCCCACCCCAGAGCAGAAAATGAAGAAGATCAAACTGAATATGTTGAAGAAGTACTTTTTCAAAACAAAAGTCAGAAGAGAATAAAGGAGAAAAAAAGTCAGTGAAGAAACAGCAATTTTAGTCATCTGTAACTTCACAATCTCTAAAAACTGTTAATTAAAATAAGACCACAACCGTGATGAAGACAGCTGACTTTGGAAATTGTGAGACATCTCAATTTTAAAAGTTAAATAAGAAAGAATGAAAGAAAAGAATTGTGACATTTTTAGTAGCTAATAACTTATACTTCATGGAAATATGATCATATCAACAAAAATAGTTCATGATTCCAAATGAAGTTTTGTCGTCTACCTGAACTCTTGCAAACTGTCTCTCTAGCAGACAACACAAACTATTAAACTAATTTCAGGGGCAATTTTTAGCAACCATTCTACCCTGACTTACTAAGATCTTCTATCAGTAAAATATCTTCAAACATGCCACAGTTCCTCAACATTCTTCTTTGATATGCAATATAAAACTCCCCTTAACAAAGACTGTTCTTTTATCACACTAAACATTCAAACAAAATGATAAGTCACTGGACTGTGCTCAGGAATCTGCAGAATCATCAGAGTGTGGTGCTATGTATTTGTGATTCTTCCATCTTTCTCTACAGCTCAACATTTTTCTGAATTTAACCTCTTCCTCCCACCCCTCTTTTTCCTCCCCATTCGTAAGCCTGCACTCAAAATCGCATTCTATTCCCAGGGAATGTAGAGGCCCCACAGCGTAGCTGTGAGAGAAACTGGCTCAAAATACCATTTATGAGTTCAAGCAAGCATGCAGTTTACAAATGTCAAGAATAAATTGTTTTTAGTAATGCATAAAACCATCTGCTGTACACCAGCCTTCTTTGGTTTGGATTTCATGACATAACTCTTGGCTACATCTAATGATTCCTATTTATGTCTCTTCCTTTAGAAGCAGGGCTCTTTAGTCATGGTTCAAATTATTCCCATCGTGGGGAAGATTGGTGCTTTTTTTTTTTTTTTTCATTTTTCCAGGGCTCTCTCCTCACCAATAGCTTTTCTGTAGTAAAAGGAAGAAACCAGTATTCAATGAGCGTTGCCTCCAAATTGTGCCACAGCCCCCTCCCCCCACAGATACTCATACTTCTTAGGGCTGCAAAGTTTAAAGTTAGTACTCAGACGTGAATTGCATTAAGCTAGCTAGGAGTTACTTGGCCAATTGAAGTGTTTGTTATTGAAAAAACAAACAGGAATTATGCCCAGGTGTATCCTCAGCAAAGAATTTAAGGACAGGAACAGGTCTAGCCTGAGCTAGAGGGTCCGAGAATCCTTGATTTTTATTAAAGATCTGTGGAAAATAGGATAATTGAGTTTTCCCTATAGATTTCAAGGCCTAACAAAGTAATAACTTCAGATTCACTTACTTATCCACAGAGTGGAAAATCTGAATATTTCACAGGAAAATCTCTAATGCTAAAGTGATAGACGACTCATTGCCAACTCATAGAATAGCCAAGTGGGAAGCTGTTCTCACACATTTAATGCATCAACTAGGACTCTTATGATTGAAAATGGCAGGGAGAAAAATTGCTCATTTAAAAATCAGATGAAAATGAAAGTAGGATATCAGTGTGTGTACATATGCCATTTTCTTTGATGCAGACAAGTATACATGTGAATACCTACTCAGATGCAGCCAAAAACTCACTGTTTCTGTTTCTCAAACAGGCTGATCTTTCTCCTGTCTGGGTAAAGTGGACACCAAAACAGACTCTTCCTTAACCTCGCCAAGAAATGTGGTCTCATCATTTGTCTGTCCAGGTCAGATATTTGGTTATGTTTTTAAAATCACTGTTCTAATGAGCTGCGAATTCTTCTGATACCAAATCCTTTAGCCTTTGCTTTTCATATTCTTCCCAGAGTTTGTATTTCTATGCTATTGCATTTCCTGGGATGTTCAGTGATTGAGTATGCACTCTTCATATTGGCACTGCTGTTTTGCATTATCTGATTTGATTTGCATAGGTGTTGTTTTTTTTTTTTTGAGTTCTGCTCATGGCTCTCCCAAGTGTTAGGGAACAGCACAGGGCTCAAGGTCCTAAAGGGCAGCACAGGGCATCACAGGACTAGGAATTCACTGAGGTCTGAGCACTTTACTCTTCAGAGCTAGCTGCTGTATGGACCATCTGGAGAGAGGCAAAAATAACATCTCTGCAGACACCACTCATCTATGTAGTACCAGATATAAATTATGAGAGTAATATGTCAATAGAATCTGAACTGAAATTCCACTTTAGTCTTCAATGCTACATCTACTTATAGAAGTGCACCTATTACTCTGCTAGAATATTCAAAATGAGAACCTGACTTAGAACAAAGATGGTAATGCATGCTTACTATTGTGAAGCTCAGAGGAGGATGCTACACTGGCAAGGAAAGCCAGAGAAAATTCAGCAGTGCAAAAATAAAAGTGTTGGAAAAAGTCGTGGTTGAAAGCTACTGAGAATAAAGAAATTTTCAGAACAGCCAGAGATTTGAACAAAGTCATTTCCAATATAATATTTAACAAATATCATACCAGGAGTTACAAAGTGCAGGAGGAAACACAAAATGCTTCTATTGCTATATATGAAATAATTGTTTCTGCTCAGGTGTCCCATAATCTTCACTATTTGACTAATTTAGCAGCCTGTAGTTTTTTTAGGTTAGAATTCTCCACTGGTCATTACAGTTTGAATATCTTAGAGAAGTGTTGTTGCACTGAGAAGGATTAGTCCCATTGGCTGCAGAAGACCTAACCATGGTAGACTTACCATGTCAGTAATGAATGTGAATTGGAATGTACACAGATTCCGTGGTAACACAGGTCCATGGCAGTTGGAGCCAGATGTTATGAGACTGTTGATAGGAGCCCAAAGTATCCCTTTATTCAGGAGCAAAAGATTTGGAAGATCATTTACGTGAGATGCTTTATTATGCTTAAGAAAAGGAAGCATTTGGTTCCAGTATATAGGAATTTTCAAAGGAGAGAAAAAAGAAGAAACAATTCCTGACTAGGAATAATACACAATTCAGGGAATATCTGAGCTACTACTTCCTCTAGTGGAAAAAAATTATTGCCCTAAATAATTATTCTTGCTTTACCAGAGTAAATTTACTGGAAAATTTTACAGCTCCAACAAGCAGATATGAGTCAAATCTATTTTTGCCAGTCACAGAACTCATTTCTCTTAGTAGGCTGCAAGTGAATAGGCAGAAATTTGTTCATTCCGTAGTGTGGTCACCTGTGTGATCTTTGGCAATTTTTAATCCCCAAAACACCAGATCAGTGCAAAATAGGGGGAAAAATACCAGACTGATGATGGAATAATAATAAAACACCTTTAGAAAACGTTGTGTCACCAGATGCTACTTTTACTTAACGTTCTGCAATTGTAGGTGAACATTAAGAAAGCAGTTGGAACCTTCAGACATCTGAGTTGGTGACAAATTGAGAATGTGAACATGTGTTTGTACAGTGGGAAATCATGCAAGGTGAAACAGAAAAAGGGGAAAAGCTAAATGAAGAAGCAATGAGATTTGGTGTTCTCTGCCACTGCAAGAATATAGTACAGTGGACTGTGAGGATTTGATTGCAATTATGGAGCCAAGGAGATGTATTCATGACTATTAAACATATATTCTGTCATGTTTTCGGCTGTAAGCTGAAAGCAAAGAGTTAAAATAGTAGGTAGGATATGAGGATGCTCAAATGGTTTTTAAGCTCCTTGTTTTTTTAGATAGAAGTTAGTGAGCATTGAAGAGTTGCAAAGAAAACAGGATTTGAAACTAGAACTAGGTTTTTGTTTTAACAGGTACAGAAGATGCTACCAAAGTTGAAACTGTTACCTTCTGCAAGCAAGTAACTTTGCTGGAAGTGTATAGTTGTTTGGTAGCATCTCTCAATCACAGCATGTCAGCTCTAACTAGACAAACTGAAGACTTGGCAGATTTTAATGGTGACATCTGAGGAGGAGAGCTGAGAAAGCTAAGTGTTGCCGTGAGTGCACAAGCTTCCTCAGAAGGGCAAAACATAGGGTCAGAGGGGAAAGGTTCAGCTTGTCATCACTGCTTTCTAACATGTAGCCACTTCCTGCTGCTTCTGAGAATGGTGAATAAGAAATGAACTTGATTTGGGCAAAGCTTCAAGATTTTTATTGAATGGTACATAACTAATAAACAAGATTATACAGTGTCTGTATTTTCATGGAAAATAGACTCAGTTAAACACATAACATATTTCTGCCTCTTGGATAGATGCTAATTTAGCATTTGTAAAACTCAAGGCTCCAGCAGAGCTGGAATATCCTCCCAGCAAGAGCCCCAGAGGTCTGCTGTTGGGCAGACTTTCTCTCCAACCGTGCTGTCAGCACTGCCTCAGATATCATCAGTGTTAATTCCAGTACTGCACTGCTGAGACACAGTGCCAGAAAAAGGCTGAGATCAGGCTTTTAGAGCAGCAGTATCATCAGTGCCAGCCTACAGTGATGCCTTTGTGGAAGCACAGAGCACTAAATACAAGAAATCGAACCAATAAACAGCACTGCATGGAAACAAGACAACATTCCTTTGTGCATTAGTGTGCCCTTCTGCCTCTTCCCCTCAGACCTGTAGGATTAACTTTGCAATGATACAAAAGCCTCTGCAGTAATAGTGTTTGGATTTCATTTGATCAGTAGACACGGCACAATGTGACAATAAGATGTTCAACTCAACAGCAATATCTCTTAATGCTACACATATATATGTATATTTATATAAACTACATATTGGTACAATACAACTCAAAAAATCAATGGCCTAACATAGCCATTTACATGTGACAGGATTAACCTTGAAATATTAATGCATAAACTATTTATTCTCCTCCAAACTATAGAAGTTACAAATGTTTTCTCTCTTTTCGGTACACCTTTGTAATAAGACAATACATTTTATTACTTTGACTTAAGTCAATTAGCAGATTCTCCTTTCCGCTAGGAAACAGACTCTCCATCTCCTTGTTTCAGTTAACAGTGATGTGAAATGGAATCACTTTTTTCTCTAGCTTTTCAGAAGGCATTTTCACATAGACCCCAGTCGTGAGACGTCGTCTTCTCTGGATCTGTAAGATATGGGAAGACAGGGAAATAAATGAGTGGTCACTTCTCTTTGCAGAACATCTATTAAGATTACTTGAGGTAGAATCAGGAGTTAGAGGGTCCATTTAAGAAAAGATAGAGTCCTGCCATTCAACCAGCACTCTGAAGATGCTCTTATTACAGTCCAGTCTTGGCTCAAAACTGAGTGTTTACACCGGACTTTTAAATTTAGCTTCTAGTGACAAGAGTGATTGAAAAATATGGGGCAAGAATACTATTTTGGTTTATGATTTGATGTGAGTTTTATTTCTACACTCCAGACCCCCACTGAAATAAGCAAACCAGATTTACATTTCTCATGCTTTTGTCTTATGCGGGTGTTTCTAGCTGTGAAGTTAAAATATGCTGTAAGTTACAATTCCTTCCTGCCACAGGGAGAAGCTTCTTTACATTTGTTTTGTACATAGATAAATAGTGAGAAAAGTAAAAATCAAATCCTAGGACTTTGTGTGAAACAGCTATGTGAAAATCAGGGTAGACCTGAAGACTGTTGCCTTTGATACCAGAAGTACCCAAGACTCCAGCCTATTCTAAGCACCCAAACCTAAGCCAAGAATCAGTTCAACTGATATAAGTTGTCTGCTACTCTGGCAACACAACTGAGCCATAAACAAGTTTAAATAGTAAATCCAGCAAGTTCTCCTTTTGCATTATTGCATCAGTACTGCAGTGCACTAGTAAAATGCTGCCAGAGCATCCCAGTGCATTTGTTCCAAACATTCTCTCTCGTTCTTGTTTCTTTCTCCTTGTTCTTGGCACACAAAGGGGCATTATTAGCAGGATGGGATTAGTTGATGGGACTCACCGCTTTGCCCACGACAATGGCTGAGATGATGATGCTGTAAAGAAAGAATCCTGAGGCAGTAGCTCCTAATACCCAGAGATATATGGCAGTGTCTGGACAAGGTTCTGGATCTAAAACATACCATATTGCACAACGCTTATTACATATGACCATCATAAGGAAGACCCTGGAGTCAATCATTAACATCCACAATTCTTTTCTCTACCATATCTTCCCAGGATATTATCCTGCCCACTCAAACTCCAGTGAAAATAGAATTTATGTGCAGAAGAACAAACACTTTACTCTTTGCTGTTTCTGCACCGACATTCCTAACTTCCAGGACACAACATTTATACTATATGGTATTGCATATGCTGTGAAACATCCATAAATTGCTAAATACATGGCATGTCTATGAATACATCTGCATTGGGTGTCTACAGGAATAAGAGCATGATTCTCAAAGGCTGAATCAGTGTTCAACCTCACTTCCTACAAACAGCACTCTGAAGATCTATGAGACATACAGCAACATTTGTAAGCTGGGAATATCACAGTACTGGAAAGCAGCCTGGCTTACCAATCACATAGAGTTGTGTCCCGTTTCCCTTGTTCATGAAGTATGGTGGAGGGTACATCCGCTCCATCTTGCAGACATAAAGACCAGTATCATTAGCTTGCAGGCCTGTGAGGGTAAGGGTCACGTTGTTTCGGCCCGGGCTAACATGGCACTGAATAACCTCTTCCACACTGAACATTTTAAATTCCAATGTGTAGGTCGAAGCACAGATTTCAGTGAACTTGTCACCTGTCTGTTTGAGCAAAGTCACTCGAATTTCCTTTGCATTCCCAATGTGCTTGTAGTTACACACCAAGCTGGCAACTCCTTGCCTGTTGGCCAGTACTATTGCTGGCTGAGTCACTTCCATTACTGCAAGGAACAAAGAGCATCATGGTAAGTTAACTGTCCAGAAATGGTCTGCAGTCATATAATAACTTGATAAATTAATAACATATATAAAAAATTTGAAACCTGTACTAAAAGAAAGAAGTCCTACCACCTGTCATGTGTGGATAACTCCTAGAAATGCCTCTATATCCTTTCAAAAAAAATCCTTCAAGACCACAATTAACATGAAGACTGCATTAATATACTGAAAAATACTGACATGCTTTCATTATTATAAGTGATATTAGAAATCTCAGCAATTATTTGTTCCCAAGTAGTAAGTAACTTGACCACTTACTGGAGCAATGACCTGCAAGCTTCAATTTCCTTCTTAACACACACTTTTAGATGTACAAAAGAAAACAAATATATAGACTTCAGTTGGTAAAGATGAAATTTGTAAAGTTAGGTATTTAAACCATAACTTCTACCTGGTAGAAATAAACATATTGCCATTTAGAAATTAACGGATTGACATCCTGTACGAAACATAGAACAGAATCCTTAGGGTGACAGTAATACTGAATAAAAACTCTGTTTCCATTTTTTATTCCTGATCTTTTTACTCCAGCTATTCCCAAGTCACTGGATAGAAAGATGTACATTCTAAGCTACAGTATAGCAACACACAGCAAAGCCTGATGAACATACTGCAAAAAATCTTCACAAATCTTAAGGGGAAATTTGTACACCATGTGTGTCTCCACAGGCTGTTTTGTACAACTGCTGTATTCTGTCCCTCAACACGATGGGAATGCATTTTTGCTTTAGTGAGCCATGAGTGCTCAGTATTATTTATTCAATTTCATATAAAAACAGTCCATTTCTGGGCTGAGTTTACCTTCTTCAGTTCTGCAGTGCAAGAATATGGGAAGGAGATAAGTAAAATCTCTCCATCCATTCAAACATCTATCTCCACCTTGTCAGCTGCCAACTTCACCCACAAGGCCTGGTTTGTCAAAATATTTCTTGCTTCGTGAGCTGCTCTGAGTCCTGCCCAACCTCTCTGCAGGTGTCTTTGCTCTTGAGTCTGTGTTTGGTTTTCCAGACACCTCTCAGAGCCCTAGACTTCTTTCCCAGACTGTCCTATGGAGAGACCCCATGTCATCTCCTCTTGTACCCAGCCCCCGTTCTGCAGAGGTGTCAAAATGAGAAATTGTAGACATCCCCAGCTACCTTCATCTACCCACCTTTGGCAGTGGCAGTGGCTGCGCAGAGAAAGCTCACGGTGACCCATGCTGAGAGCATTCCTGCGCCGAGACAGATGCTGTAGGAGCTGAAAATGTCTGATGCCTTCAGACTTTAAGACAAACTGGAACTCTCAGGACTGGAATAAAGGTAACGCCTTTCAGGATACTGAATCTTCGAAATGTTTGAACCCACACAGAGTCAGTGTGTATTTATATAGCTGTGATCCCAGATGCTGTACCTGAAAGTAATATGAAGCTTTGTTTTGGTTTTACGAGAAAGGAAGTAGTGGGTTTGATTAGTACGTGCATAGTTAACCTCAAACAGCATGAACAAAAACAACTATTCAGCAGATGGAAAATATATATTCAATCTGAAACTGCCATCCATTCTGCTTTGAGAACTGGGGGGAGGAAAGTAATCATCCAATAGAGTAATGCAGGGCCATTAGTGCAGCTTCCTTACACAACCATAACGTTTAAAATTCTAGCAGTCATCAGTTATTTTCTATTAGGACAACATACAAAGAACTATTTTTGCCTAATGTGACACAGTGAATCAGTGCAAGCTAGCCTGTTTATGGAGGACTTCCTTCCACCTCTAATATCTTTGTTTCCTCTAATGTTAGTGCTTTTGATGTTTAAAAGTGCTGCCCCCTTCAAAATACTGATTACAACTGCAATAGTTTCATCTTTTAATATTAATAATGTGACTTGAATCGTAACCCAACTTGTTCTGTTCTTCTAAGAAAAAAAATGATCTATCTAGGATTATAACTAATGACTTCCACATCTGTACAACACTTTCTCTACGTAGAGACTTTACTGTCCAAGTACACTGAGATCAACAGATGAAAAACACTATAGAAGCTTTGATTATTGCTGTCTCCTCTTAGAGAACCTGCCTCGTACCAAATCTCAGTGACACAGTTTTCACCCATTGGCCTTTTAAAAGTCATATCTGAAAAAAAAAGTGTGAAAATCCTTGTGTTTTTTTATGTGATGGTCTGTCACATCCACGAATCATTGCCTAAAGAATTTCTTAAAAATAAGTTACTCTGAAGACCATCATTCTTTTTTTTCCCATCTACTTTGAGAAGCTCTTCTAGAAGATGCTTCATCATTTGCACATTAACAAAGACCTACTTCTGGACTGTGACCTAGAAAAAAGATAGCATTAGTTCTTGAACAGTGGCCTGCTCAGACCAAAGATACAGGACAAATACTTCATCTCAAAAATTACATAAATACATAATTATATAAATAAATTGACTGCTTCCAAATTTAGGTGATGCAACAATTTTTTAATGACAAATTCATTGCCACTTTGATTTCATCTAGCATTTAAAAGCCAGCCTTCAAAACAGAACTGATAATAAATAAAAATACAACTCTGGGAAATGGAAAAATTGCACCCAAATAATGAGTCAGGCCTGTATTTTATTACTGCTTATACACACTTAAATCCATTTTATTAATAAATTTAGTATTAACTAAATTCTATTGCAATATTACATATCAGAATATCAGAGAGATTTATGGCATGAAGTTATCAGGTTGTGCCTGACATTTTCAAATCCAGAGTAGTAAACATATTGCCTATCCCATGTAGCTTTTTGGCTTGGGCTTTGTATGCAGTTAAATAAATGATGCACTTAGCCTCCCCATCATTCATAATATAATCTCCAGATAATTGATTGTGCAATTAACCACTAAACATTTGGAAAGGATTTCCTTTTACAACTCTATGCTTACTGTCCCACATAACCACAGTATGACTGAGCACTGAACCAGGCTCCCAGGGTAGTGGTCACAGCACAGAGCTTGCCAGAATTCAAGAAGTATGTGGACAATGCTCTCAGACATATGGCCAGATTGGTGGTTCTCAATCAATGTGGAGCCAGGAGCTGGACTCGATGATCGTTATGGGTCCCTTCCAACTCAGGATATTCCAGAATTCTATATAACTAGAGAGAGAAGAAGCCCTCTAGGCCTGGTCTCTGGCAAACACTTTTTCCATTCTTACCCATTTTGTTTTCCAGGCTGTTTAATTCTCAGGGTGTCTTTTCAAATCTACCACAGCTTACTCTTTACTCTTCTTTCTCCTTAAAATCCTGTCATGATTACTACTCTTCTAAGTAAGACACAGTATGTCACCCTGTGGATTTTCTTGAAGTTTTCTGTCTCTCCATGGCCAGGGCAGCCTACGGTGAGCCTAGACTATTCCCCTTCCAATGCATAGAGATTACCTTCCTACAGTGTCCTTTCTTCTTGCTGATCAGGCTTTGGATCTTGAGTTAACATTGAGCAGATACCAGATTGAAGATGTAGCAAAATAGGGTTCTTGTTCCAAATAAGACTTCTTCACTGTTCCTTTCCTACTGAGCTAAGTTGTGGCATGAAATAAGGTCTTAGTAACCAAATGAGTTCCCCCCTAAAATGAGATCCACAAGAATGGTCAGGGAGGCCTTTTCTCTGTGCTCTGCTACTCTTCTAACTACTGTTCAGCTGAAGAAGACTCTGTGGGCTTTTGCTCAGTCCACCTTCCCTGTACACCACATAGGTTTTTTGGTCTACAGCCAAAAGACCTGGCCAACCCAGTTACCGATTCTTCTTGTCTGTGCAGTCTGATATCTTGCCACTCTGACTTCATCTTTCAGACTCCTTTTCTGCCACTTTTTACTTTAACTGGAACCTGACACCTGGCCTAGGGTCAGAGCAAGGAAGTGGGTCAAAGAGGAGCCCTTCCTTTGATGCTGAGATTCAGAAGGTCTTTAAAGAAGGATGTTCCTCAGGCTGAGTACAACAGCATGTGCTTTGCACTTGCCATGTCCAAGATCTCAATGTAAGATAAATCTTTCTTTTAATGCTCATGCTTATATTATAGTACTCTTCTCTTTGCTCCTGGGGGTAACATTAAGTCCCAGGTCAAAGGAAACCTTTTTACTCTCTCTGTGCATCCATAGCAAAGAGTCGGGACAATGGAGAGGACTGAGGGGTTTGCAGAGTTAAGCTTCAGCCCTAACTGAGGAATCAGCTGGCCTCATGGCATCTGTGAACTTAGCATAGAGAAGGACATTAATTTACACTGGACACTGGGCTACACTACTATATTGTGATTAATAACTGGTTTGTCATCTAAGCTTCTTTGTCATTGGGTTGCTATTCACATTTAAGTGATCTCAATTGCTTTTCTTCACTGAATACTTGCTAGGGCAAATCTTCTACTGACGCACTGTCAGAATTCCCATTGCAAAATGTTATTATTCACTTTTTTTTTTTTTCACACATTAAAAAGAAGTTGCTTCACATTGTCTATGTTTTTTTCTTCTCTGACAGGAACTTAAAAAAGTTCTTGGTGGTGAATTGCTTGAGATGTAATGGAGAGAAGAGAAGCTTATCATTTGCATAAGTATCTGGTTTCAGGATATTTTCTTAAACTCAGAATGTGAGATCATGTCCCACTATGTTAAACAGTTCACGTTTTTAGCATGTTAGTTTGCCGCAAACCTATCAGGGTTTTGAAGTGCACTGTCATTTGAAAAAAAAATCCAGACCTCTAAATGGTATGGCTGAAGAAAAAAATCTTTTCTACAAGATAATAGGTAAGGAGAAAAGGAAATAACATCGTAACTGGAAAAAATATTGTTTCATTACCATGAAAGGACTAAAACCTGATTAGTGTAAGTAAAGTCCTAGATATGACCAAGTTTGGTGGATCAGTCTTGGTTCCTGAAAGAACCACAGCTCACATCATCAAACTACTGATTTTTAAATCTCTCAGAACTGTGGCCTTTCTGAGAGCTTCTAACTTGGAATTGCAGATGTCGATGTCTTGTCCTAAGCCCATGCCCTCAGCAGACAAGCAGAGGCAAGGACAGCACTAACTGAGGAGCTCCCAAGCATTTGGATTTCGTGTGTGCTTTTGCTGACCAGTTGATGGGCTATAAGGGGGGTTTGAGGTGTATGCAGATGTGTGAGAGTTCTTTTCCTTGTGCTGCAATAGTTGGCAGTTCCTTCTGGAAGTCTAAGCTTTGTTTCCCCTACTGTGAAGTTAGCTATATGAAGCAGTCCTTCCTGAAATTCAGGACATCAGTAGTTTTCGAATGGGGGAAAATTGGTTACCAATTTTCAATTATAACATCTGAAAGTAAACCTGTTAGGTATATCCTGTGACTAGCTGCTACTATGGAGAGATGGACAAATACTGATGAGGTTTTACTTCTGCTTCCCTCCACTTCTTAAAATATTGCAAAAAGGAAAAAAACAGCTAAAGACAGCTGTGTTCTGACTGTGCAGAAGTTTGCATTTAACTGGAGACAGAAGAAGAAATCATTATAAAGTGAAGACATGTGAGGAGTGTTGTTCTCAAAAATGAGATGCCTAAGAAATATTTTGAAGGGTACAGGCGTGTGTATTTCACATGTAGTATATAGCTTAAAATTCTGCTTCCAGTTTTCATACTGCTAATTATTCCCTGTTCTGTTTTGTTGTTTTGTTTCGTTTGGAAATTTTTATGACATTTTAAACCACAAGATCAAAGCAGGACTCCTGGTAAACCTCAAATTAAACCTTTACATTCAACATTTATCAAGCAGAGCACTGAAAAAAAATAATACATAAAGGAGATCGTGTCCCAACTTGGTGGACGTACAGAGAATCAAAATATTTGAAGGAGAGGAGACTTGAGAAGAAAAAGCATATTCTGTAGCTCACAGTGGGAGGTTCTTTTCAAATGCAAGAGATGGCATGGAGCACATTTTAAAGGACTTTTTTGAATTAACAACATGCAAATAATGAAGATCAGCTTTGTTTGCCAGCTAAAGTCTGGGGGCTATTTCTAAAGAGTGAATTAGAGCTGATAGAATGGAATGGAAAATGAAATAAATGAAATGAAATGAAAAAGTCTTAGTAATATAGTGTGCACAAAGAGAGTGAGAAGTTGTTCAGAGTGACAAATTCACAGTAACATTTTGAATACTTAGCAGTGAGATGGTTGGTCAAGGCTTGAGAAGTGGATGTTTCTGCAATCAAGAGGTGACTTGGGATCACAGACAAAGGCTCCAAAAGGCATTTTCTTGCACTGAATGGCCCTTACATTCTGCCTGATTTACCACTGCTATGTCTGGATCTTGGAAGTAAAACATGGGTGTCTCTTCCCACTGGCACAGTCAGAAGTTCCATACTGAGTCTGGGAATAAGCTACAAGTCTGGGACACCTTTAGCTTCTGCGTGGAAGTCTCAAAGGGCTCAGTGAAATAAAAATAGGGAAATGAGAATGCCAAGTGAGAAAAGAATATT